ACAGGTCTAGGTATCGAATCTCTGTGTCTGCAAATGTCGGGTCTACTGGGTGAAACCATTTCACTGGAGGACATTCGTGAACAAGAGGAACAACACTATTTGACCTGCGGACTGAACGGGAAGAGGCAGCCATAGCTGCTGCGCAAGGAGAATTATGTGCAGGCCATAGCAGCGTGTGTGAAGTGTGTGCGTACGCGCTCGTCTAGGCATGCCATGTTGTGAGTGAAAGAGAGTAGTAGTGTTGACAAGGGACCGCCATGTCAGGATACTGACGTGCAGTGGCTGACCGGATCCTTGGGGACATGGGAGGCATCCCTGTTATGGCCGGAGTCTGTATCATATGGAGACTTGCATTGAACTCTGATTGGCATCTCCGTACCTGTGAGTGAAAGAGCTTTGTCAGTGAGCATATGTGGAACTTCGACCGAATAAAACATATCGTCATTATCGCAGTTTCTAGACTGAAAGTTGCCCCCAATACGGCTCTATCAACCGTACATTCTGCTCCAGGGAATTCTTGCCGTCCTTTATCTTCATGTTTTCCCATCGTGTATGCCCTTTATTCTCAGTGAAGATTCTGTGATATTAAAGGGGACGGTCCTCCACAGAATTCAATCACCGTGCACACTTGAATTCATTGCCTCAGGCTCTTCTGGAAAAGCTGGGTATTGCAAGGACTGAGCCTCACAACAGGCCGCCGGGTCGTGGCCTCCTCAGGACTGAAGGGCCCCGAACAAGCCAGCTGCCTGCCCTAAGTGAAGGCAGGCCTGAATTCTGCATGGGGCCTCCTCCCGCTTAATCAGTACAGCATTTTTGGGCGCCAGACAGTTGAGACGCCCCAGTTGGTTACTGAGGCCCAGCTCGCGAGAATCGGAATCTTCAAAGAAGCTACCAGGATCCTGGAAGCTTCAACGAGGAAGCAGGCCTCTCGGCCGATCAGAAAGTGGGGAACACTTCACAGACTGCGGGGGGTGGTTGGGTGCGTCTCAAAGCTGCGGGCCCAGGCAACTAACTGTGTGAGTGGGCCTGGGCGCGGACACTTTGGGCCAACTTGAAGCTATTGGGGACCCACTCGCCAGGCCCAAGCAGCCAAGAGGTGAGAGGGGCGTTGTGGTGGCAGTGGGCGCACAGTGGCCATAGCCGGGCTGTCCGGGCGCAAGGCGGGTGATGCTGATGGTGGTCTTCGGGTAGGAGGCGCATGCGGTGGGGAGACGGGGTGATGCCGGGAGGAGACAGACACCTACCGGGTGTAGCTGGCAGTCTGCATTGGCGACAACATCACGCACATTGGTCTTCAGCTTCGAAGTGATTCTTGTTGCATGAATGTAGTGTAGGATGGATAGGCCGAGAAGTGTAGGCTGGGCGCCGAGCGCCAATCTGCATGAGCGACTTTGGACACTATGTTCGTGTGGCCAGAGAGCGTCGACATTGACATTTTGGTTCATTGTATTACTCTTATTTGGATGGGTATCTTGGTGAATTGAGCTCTCTGCTTGGTACATGACTATTTGGACTACAGCATGATTCTGCAATTTGGATTTCTGAATTTTCTGTCTATTGGTCTCTCTCATATTTGTTTCAATTTGGTATCAGAGCTGGTTCGTATATCGCCGTTACCGGTGCTGGCGTCTTTGTAGTTTTGTTCACAGACGAAGCTTCTCCACAGTGAGGATACCTTGACGCTGGCTTGGTTGTCCCTCCCAGGTAGAGGGGAGTGAGAGAGGAAGCGAAGTCCACCTATGAGAGGGAGCTCTATGTGTTCTATAAGGTTCCAATCCATTGGAGACATACCTGTTGGGGCGGTTCTTCTATTTGAGGACTGACCACCAGACGCTCAAGTGGATAAAAACACAACCAGTTCTCCCCGATGCACTAAAACACTGGATTGAGGTCATAGATCAAAATGATTTCAAACTGGACTATGTGAAAGAAGAGTACAATAAGGTTGCTGATGCACGCTCGTGGAGGGCGGACTACCTCGATGCGCTAATTATTGAGTTTGGGTTATCTGATGAGCTGACTCGATCATTGGTCAAAGTCTACGAGAAAGACCCCGTCATGATGGACATCATCCCCAAGCTCGAGGCCCGGGATAAAGCCACATCAGACGAGTTTGTGATGGTGGATGGGTTGCTCTTTCTTGAAAAGGCCGGGTTTAAAAGACTGTGTATGCCATCTAGTGAGTTTTTATGTAGTTGATTTCTAGGAGAATGTCACGATGCAACGGGTACAAAAAGACTAGTGCTAACTTGGTACAGCGTTTCTGGTGGCCAGCTATGCTTGATGATGTGAAAAGTTACGTGCAGACTTATCAAGTCTGTCAGCGGGACAAGTCGTGAGCTTGAGCACCGCTTGGGTTACTTAATCCCTTGCCCATTCCCGCAGGTCCTGGACACAGCGTTTCCATGGATTTCATGGAGACTCTCGTGACCACCAAGAGTGGCAAGAGGCAAATTTTCATCATAGTTGACTGGTTCACCAAGTACGCTAGACTGATTGCCATGCCTTAGACTGCAAAGACTGAGCATGTCATCAAGTTATTCATGGATAATTGGGTGCGTGATTTTGGACTGCCCAAGACGAAAAGTAAGCGATAGAGATGTCTGGTTCACCAGTGAGATGTTGAATAAGGCTGCTGAACAGATGGACAACCAACTCAAGTACCTGCTGAGGCACTACATCAAGCCCAGCCAGGATGACCGGGATGAGAAGTTGCCTCTCATTGCCGGCCTGTACAGCAACGCTGTTCACAGCACCACGGGCATGAGTCCGAATGAGCTGCATTTGGGGTGAAAGCATATATCTGCACTAGATTTCCTCCTTCCTGAAAACCGACCAGCTGCAACTTCTGGAACCATAGAATTTGGTGTGCGTATGAGAAGCTGTTGCAGCAGGCTGTCAAGCACATTGGAAAATCCCAGGAGACCACGATTGCCTCTGAGAACAGACATAGACGACAGTCCACATTTCAGGTAGGGGAACGTGTCTGGGTAAAGGCTTGAGTTAGGACAGGAATTTGACAGTACTTTGGTCCTTGGGAACTCCTATACACTGTGGGTAGTAATCAGGATGGTCCCTCCTATGTGGTTAGAATCCTTGGTGACCTGCACACTTACCCTGTGTTTCACGCTTCCAAGATTGCACCTTTGGCTGAGACTGACAAGTTTCCATTAAGGAGATCAATGCTGCCCCCAACCATGGATGGCCAAGTGGACATCGACGACATCCTGGAGCAAAGAGATCTGCCTGTTCCCAAGCCTGTAGGCAGGGGAAGACAGCCAAAACCTGCAAGGGAGTACCGGGTCAGATTCAGGCATCATACGGATCCGAAGGAAGATTGTCGGTTCACAAAAGAGGAACTGGTCAAGACGGCACCTCAGGTCGTTGCAGAGTATGAACGGAAACTGAAGGGGGAAACATCTGCGTAAAAGCATCTCAGCGGACTTTCGAAGCTAAGGGGGATGGAATGCGAGGACTGAGCCTCACAACGGGCCGCTGGGTTGCGGCCTCCTCAGGACAGAAGATCCCCCAACAAGTCCGGTGCCCGCCCTAAGTGAAGGCGGACCTGAATTCTGCATGGGGCCTCCTCGCACTTCATCAGTACAGCATTTTTGGGCGCCACACAGTTGAGACCTGCCAGTTGGTTACAGAGGCCCAGCTCGTGAGAATCAGAATCTACAAAGAAGCTTCCAGGATCCTGGAAGCTTCGATGAGGAAGCAGGCCTCTCAGCCTATCAGAAGGTGGGAACACGTCACAGACTGTGTGGGGTGGTTGGGCGCGTCTCGATGCTGCGGGCCCAGGAAACTGTCTGAGTGGGCCTCGGTGCAGACACTTGGGGCCAACTTGAAGCTACTGGGGGAACCGGTCGCCAGGCCCAAGCAGCCAAATGCAGGGCTGCACTTTCCATAATGGAAAGTGCCCTGCCCAGCTAGAGTACATTCTGGCCTGTGCAGGGAGAGTGGCTACGCTGCTGCTTTGTCGAGCGCGAGCGCTGCTCGAGCAATGGCCAGTGTGCACGGGGCCACTACGATGTGAGAGGGGTGCTGCGGTGGCAGCAGGCGCACGACGGCCATAGCCAGACTGCTGGGGCGCAAGGCGGGTGATGGCAATGGTGGTCCGGGTAGGAGGCGCATGCTGTGGGTAGACAGGGGGTGACGACGGGAGGAGAGACACATACCGGGTGTATGCTGGCAGTCTGCATTGGCAATGACGTCACGTACATTGGTCTTCAGCTTCGAAGGGATTCTTGTTGCATGAACGTAGTGTAGGATAGATAGCCTGAGTAGTGTAGGCTGGGCGCCGAGTGGGAATCTGGACGAGCGGCTTTGGATACTATGTTGGTGTGGCCGGAGAACGTTGACATTGGCATATTGGTTCATTGTATTGCTCTTATTTGGATTGTATCTTGGTGCATTGAGCTGTGTGCTTGGTACATGACTATCTGGACTACGGCGTCATTTTGCAATTTGGATTTCTGTTTATCGCTCTCGCTCAGTATGGTGAAGGGCCCTATCTCTGGGAGACCATTTAATGCGCGAAGGTGTGACATGCACAGGACAGAGTGTCTGCATGGTAGTTCAATAAGAAAGTGTGTTAGTACATGTATATCCATTTGTTACATAGGAGCTCGTTCGCAGCCCATGTGGTTAAAAGGTTTACATATGTAGCTGTTCTGAATAGATAGGTCATTAGGTCAAGTCTTGGTAGAATCAGAGGATCTGGTTCGGTTCTCATGGTTTGTAGGAAAGGCATAGCAATGGATGCTCGGAGCTGTTCATGAAACTCCTTTTGCCAAGTGGCATTCATTTCCCGTTTGATCTGCTGCTTAGCAAGTCCCCAGTACACCCCACCCCCCCCAACCCCCCAACCCCCCAACCCCCCACCACTCCATTTTCTTTCGTTGTCAACTTGTCACTTTGTTTTTTTTTTTCACCATGTTTGGTCTTATTTACTTGGTATGCACATGCTGACATGGATCATTATGTGATGGTTGTTGCAGGGATCGGACTCTCTTGCGTCCTGGCAAGCAAACTTAATGTTTGACCCTGTGCCTTTCGAGGTGAGTTCGCGTTGTTGACTCATTCAGCTAAAGCTCTCTTGGGCCATCTTCGACCCTTGTGACTTGATGAGGGAGGGGTTTGTTTAGTGCAAGGAAAATGAGCAATAGTGAAATACAGAAATCCAGATTTCAGAATCACAATGCAAGCCAGATAGTAGAAAGCTGTCCGGAAAGCAGAAATGCACTGTCACACCGAAGGAGAACCAAAGCTGCGAACTCAATTGTCATGAAAGCATACTCTCGTCACCACTGACAATGCAATCGAAGCTCTTCCTCCTATTGGCGCTCAGCGCCCAGACTACTATGCTACAGCTACACTACAAGCCTACGAAATGACAAAGCAACCAGTTGACGTCAGCAGCAGTAATCGAAGTACATGCAGATGTCGACCATGTAGACCCCCGCCAAGACCAGGTACATGCCCTCACATCACTTCCCCTCTCGCCCCCTCAAGCTCACACTCGACTTCCTCTCCCAAGTCTCGTCACTACCCGAAGACAACCACCACCTCTGCTGTCTATCCAAGTGCAGTGTTACATGCTGCGCCTGCACACGCAGGCCATTTTCCAGGCCTGCGTCCTTCAGGCCGAAAGCCTTAAATCCAGGGCTTACAGGCCCCATGTCGGTTCAGCCCGAAAGCCTGAATTCCAGGGCCTATCCCTGTGTCGTTTCAGACTGAAAATGGCAACAGCCTTTTTAGCCTGAAACGAAGGGCCATTTTCGGTCCCGCGCCAGCCTCAGCAGGCTGCTGCACGCCAGCCTCTGGCACACTTAGGCATTGGCAAGAGCTGCCTCCTCGGCCTGGCTCGCCCTTCAGGCAGTCAGGAGGCAGGCCGAGGTAGTACATAGGAACCTCCCAGGCACTTCACGGGTAGGCGGAGAGGCAGTTGTAGTCTTCAGGATTCGGGAGCAGCACTCTGGAGGGAGCACTGCAGAGTAGTAGTAGTGTTAGCTTGTAGTCTTCAGCTCTGGGCGCAGTAGGTAGCTGTAGTCTCCAGCGCTGGGCGCCATAGCTAGATAGTACTAGAGAGAGAGAGAGATTGGGCGGAGGCCAGAGGCACTT